AAAAAAAAAAAAAAAAGAATAAAGTGCCAAGCAAATGAAGTATGTTAAACTTTTTTATAACATCTTCACCACCACAGACTTATCTCTCAATATCCATTCGCTCCTTTCTCTTCCCCCTCCCTCCATCTCTTGATCCCCTTCCCATTTGGGAATGACCTATCTCTCCACTTCCTATTATCTCTATCTTTTATTTTGCTCTTTGTCTTTTCTTTATCCATTCATTTGTTAATGGTCATAGAGGCTGCTTCCAAGATTTAGCTATTATGCATTGTGCTGCTATAAACGTGGGTATGCATGTATCACTATGATAGGATGTCTTTAACTCTGTCAGGAAGATACCTAGAAAAGGAATAGCTGGGCCAAATGGAATTTCTAGCTGTAGATTTAGTTTTCTAAATAATCTTCATATTGATTTCCATAATGGTTATACTAGTTTACAATTCTACCAACAATACAGAAAGGTTTATTTTTTCCCCACAGCCTCTCCAGATGTTATTATTTAATTTCTTGATGACGGCCATTCTTTCTGGAGTAAAATGGAATCTCAGTATTGTTTTACTTTGCATTTCTTGGGCTGGGGATTTAGCTCAGTGGTGCAGCCACCTGCCTTGCAAATACAAGCTCCTAAGTTAGACCTCTGATACCCCAAAAGCAATAATAATAATAATTTGCATTTCTCTAATGGCCAGCAATGTTAAACATTTCTTTATATATTTATTGGCCATTTGCATTTCTTCTGCTGTGAAGTATCTATTTATTTCCACTGCCTTTTGGGGAGGGGGATACCAGGGATCAAACTCAGGACCTTGAGCTGTGAAGCAGTCAGTGGCACCACTGAGCTAAATACCCAGCCCTCCACTGCCTATTTTTTGATAGCCTTTCATTTTGAGGGGGTCTAATTTCTTAAGTTCTTTATAAATTCTAGATATTAGTTTCATACTTGAGGAAGAGATGGCACATTTTTTCCCCATTCTGTAGTATTTCTTTCCTTTTTTTCTTATTAGCATAACGCTGATTTTATTTTAGCACCTCAGGAAGCTAAAGGATTGCTTTCCCAATCTCCCTTGCAACTAAGGATAACCCATAAGACATTAGCAGAAATTTTTGGGTAAAGTTTCTAGGAGGAGACTTGGCAGGACCATGGCATCCTAGTGGTATCCAAAGCAGGAAAGGGGGGTCCCTCAATCCACATGGCCCTGCATAGCCAAGAGAGCAGGCTACAGGGGAGGCCAAGGACCTAAAGGACTTCTCCTTTCTTTGGTGAAGCTGGAGCATCTCCTCTTCCTCCTCTTGCCATAGTCTTTCCTGCAGCTGTTGTATCTTCTCTTGCTGCAATTCCAGCAGCTGCCTCTGGTCTTTCTCAAGTTCCTGGGTTACTGCCTCTTCCATGGCCTTTAGTGCAGGCTCTGAGAACTGCTTTGTGGGACCCGCAGGTTCTGTGGATGTCCTGCAGGAGAGGAACAGCTTATCACTGTGGAGTTACTGTCCATCTACCTTCAACACTCAGTTCCAGGCAGACACAAAACATCCCACAGAGAATCCTAACGGAGGGTCCAGGGTCAGAGCCACATTCCCAACTCAGGCCACACAGCACAGGCAAAAAAAAAAAAAAAAAAA